CCCGCTCCCAAAAATGGGCGGTATTTATACAAAAGGCCAGAAGTGGAAGTTAAACTTCCTAAAAAGCAAAAGAATCTAGCTTAAGGAGCGAACTGAAGTGAGTTGACTAACCCCTTAAATTTAAGCATAATTAAACACTAACGGCGACCGTACAGTAACTAAAAACATGTGTTGACATCAAAGGCCGCCGAGGGTCAAAGGCGTGAAGGTCGGCAGACAGTGAGGCGTCACAGTAGAGGGTTCAGGGGTGTCGGCCTAATTTCTAGGTCACAATCCCAACAGAAAAATTAAGATTTGGTGACTCAATGTCACAAGTGCGACGTAAATAAAGCATTGCTATAGTTACATGCTGAATCTTTGGTCACAATCAGGATTGAAAATCCACAATCTCTGTTCTCTAACTATCAAGTAACTATGCTCATCTTTTACTTATATGCTAAATATATCTCAGGATCGTTGAACACTCTCATGTTTAAATCCGTAATCTCCGTATTCCAGCCATCGTATAATCAGGCCCGTTTATATGTAAAATTCATGGGTTCGAACATAGGAACCGGAAGAGTAAAAGATTTCACCTACAGAAACACTGTTGTTGTTGTAGTCCATTTACGTCGCACTAGAGTTGCACAATGGGCTATTGGCGACGGGCTGGGGAAGCATCCCTGAGGATGATCCGAAGACATGCTATCACAATTTTGATCCTCTGCAGAGGGGATGGCACCCCCGCTTCGGTAGCCCGACGACTTGCACGCGAAGTCGAGCACTTTACGGTAGAACAGTTTAACGAGGACCAATACCGTACACCCTCGGTCCCTACACAGACTGATCCAAGTGGTCACCCATTCACACACTGACCGTAACCAGTGATGCTTGACTTCGGTGATCTGCTGGGAACCGAGTCTTAACGATCAGTCCACTGCGGGACCACATACAGATACATAAAACATACAGACATAAAAGATCTCAGTCTCAGGTTCGCTTCCCGCACAAACTACGGATACGTAAATGCTACTTTAGGTAAGCTGAACAAACGGTATTATAAACTGTAACTATAACACAAAAATAATAATAATTCAGTTGAGTCCCTCAAAAACGTCTGCCCTCCACATGGCTACCTGAAGAAAGTAAATACCTGATGGATCGAAATGTACACTAATCGGGTTCTGAGAGTTATTAAATTTAGGAGATAGAGAGTTATTATATTTAGGATAATAGTTAGAGAGATATTATATTTAGAAGAGAGCCGCGATGGCTCAAGGGACAGCCTTTAATCGCGTTAGCGTTTAATAGCTTTTAATCGCTGGCTGGTTGATCCGATTTATGAAATAGAATCGCCTTGCCATCGGGTTAACCGTTGGAGGAATTCCTTGTTTTACTCTCCGTATCACGCAAATGTGGATTAGTTCCCTAAAAAATCCTCCACGAGTTCTAGATTGTCCTATTGCCTGATACAAGAGTTCCCATGTCCTTTGAGTTCGGTTTAAAATTACAAGGAAAAAACGTGAACTGCCGTAAGTTCAGAATTGGGTCGGCTATTCAACGCCTCTTAAAAAAAAAATATTTATGAGAGTGGTCGTAAGTTTGAGATCAGTTTACGAAGGATCAGTTACGAAGGATCAGTTTTGAGATCAGTTACCACTTGGATCAGTTTACGAAGGGACCGAGGGTGTGCGGTGTTGGTTCTCGTTAAACTGTTCTACCGTAAAGTGGTCGACTTCACGTGCAGGTCGTCGGGCTACCGAAGCGGGGGCGCCATCCCCTCTGCAGAGAATCAAAATTGTGATAGCATGTCTTCGGATCATCCTCAGGGATGTATCCCAGACCGTCGCCAATAGCCCATTGTGCGACTCTAGTGCGACGTAAGTGAACTACCACAACAACAACGTATCTGTATGTGAAATCTTTTAGTCTTTCGGTTTCTATGTTCAAACCCATGATTTTTACATGCAAACGGGCCAGGTTATACGACGGCTGGAATACGGAGATTACGGATTCAAACATGAGAGTGTTCAACGATTCTGAGATATATTTAGCATACAAATAAAAGATGAGCATAGTTACTTGATAGTTAGAGAACAGAGATTGTGGATTTTCAATCCTGATTGTGACCAAAGATTCAGCATGTAACTATAGCAGTGCTTTATTTACGTCGCACTAGAGCTGCACAATGGGCTATAGTTGACGGTCTGCAAAACATTCTTGAACAGACATGCTATCACAATTTTGATCCTCGGCATAGGGGAAGGCTCCCCCGGTTTGGTAGGCCGACTACCTGCTTGCGAATAAATAGCAATAGGGTATAGTTACGTAACGGTTAGTTTATGGAGATTGTGGGTTCTGTCAGTGTGCCGGTGGGTGACCACTTGGATCAGTCTACGAAGAGACCGTGGTTGTGCGGTATCTGTCCTCTTTAAACTGTTCTACCGTAAAGTACTCGAGTTCGTGAGTAGGTCGTCGGGCTACCGAAGCGGGGCTGCCATCCCTTCTGCATTGGATCAAAACGGTGATGGTATATCTTCGGATCATCCTCAGGGATATTTCCCAGGCCGTCGCCAATAGCCCATTGTGTAGCTCTAGTGAAACGTAAATAAACTACAACAACAAGCACAAATTAGGAAAAGACATTACTGAGATACATTCAGTGATACGGCCGAATTCAATCCCTCTACGTTATATAGAACATTTGGTGAATAGGAAAGACCAATAGGCTAGGAGTTCTCATGCTGAATTTACTTTTTGAATATTTCGCAATATTTTAATACCTTTAAAGCTAAAAATAAAGTTTTCAGAATTATAAAAGTTGTTATTCAGAGATAATTTTAATTTTTAAAAATATTAATAATTATTTGTTTGTTTTTTTAATATTTAATTTTATAAAGATCCATGATAATTTAGTGTTCAAAATTCTTGTACCATATTAAATTACTAAAATATCAATTACAAAATACAAAATTTGAATGAAATTGGATGAACAGTTTCTGTGCACTAAAACGTCAAACGTAAACTTTATATTTTTTATTTAATAGCAAGCAAAATCACTCAAAAATTATGCGACCGATTCCAAAAAAACTTGGATTTTGTCATTTACAATTACGCTGCATAAAATATTAAAACTTGCATACTTCACAATTCAAAAAAATTTTAATGCTGTTAAATTAACTAATAAATAATAAACAAACACTAAAAATTATTTTAAAGCGTAAAATTAGAAATTTAGGATAGGAGGAAAATGTCTTAGTCATCAGATTTAAAGTACTCTTCGAAAACTGAGTTTTTTTCTAATCATTTAATAGTTTAATAGTTTTAAAAGACGAAAATACATAATGCTTTAAACTTAATTCTTTTTTTTTACTCCTTTAATCCCGTAAAACATTAACTATTTTTCCACTAGATTTTAAATAAATTAAATAAAAAGAATATTCAATATATTTTCTTCGATTTTCAAATTGAATTTTTTTTTTTACTTTTTTTTTCGAAGAAAACGTTCTCTTTACCATACAATATTTAAATAATTAAAAATCCAAAATTAAATAAAAAAAAACATTCAATGTATTTGCTTTAACTATCAAAATAAATTTTATTTTACTTCTTTTTCTACCCAAACATTCTCTTTTCCATATAATATCGAAATAACTAAAAATGAGAAGAAAAGTTCTCTTTCTGGCATGAAAAATCCTCTTTTGATAACAATTTGGCGACATTTTTCTCATTTGATTGCAACCCTAAACAAGAGGCGCTTCTTTAAAAATGGGTGAGAGAGAAAAACCGAAACCTTCTAATGTTTTTGACCTGGCAGTATCTCTATTCATCTGTATCAGCAGTTACTAGGTCAAAGCATGTAAATAACTCTTAAGTCAGACACTTGCTCGTTTTTAGCCATTTCATCGAATACCGCTTAATAGAAAAAGAATTTTAATCAAAAGCGTTTAATTTTTACAAAATGCCTAAAAGAATTTGTATTGTTGGCGGAGGGGCCAGCGGTTTATCAGCAATTAAAGCATGTTTGGAACAAAATTTAGAGCCTGTTTGTTACGAATGGACTAAAAATATCGGCGGATTATGGCGTTATAGAGAGGAAGATGTCCATGGATTGGGATCTGTGATGAGATCTACAATCATCAACAGTAGCAAGGAAGTGAGTGCTTTTAGTGACTTTCCACCGCCAAAAGAATATCCAAACTACATGCACAATTCCAAAATGATTCGGTACATTGAAATGTACGCCAAGAAGTTTGGGCTTGTACAGTACATTCAATTCGAACACGAGGTAAAATCAATTGAGCAAACCGCGGATTACGACGATACTGGACGATGGACTGTTACTGCTCAAAAAGTTGGATCTGCTGAACCATTCCAGGAGGTATTCGATGGAGTTATGGTGTGTGCTGGACACCACGTTTTTCCAATAATTCCGAAATTCCCGGGTCAGGAAGAATTCCAAGGAAATATTATTCATACACATTCTTACAAGAAACCTAATGGATACGACGATAAAAAAGTTCTGGTTGTTGGAGTGGGAAACTCCGGCGGTGATGTGGCGGTTGAATTAAGCAATATTGCTTCACAGGTGAGCTATGTTACTAATTTTGAATGTCTTTTTTTATTTTTTTTCAATAATGCAAATCTTTCGCTGTTTTTTCCTCACCATACAACTCAAACGCTGGTTAGTTCAACCAAAAATTCTTCCCTGAAGGAGTTTTTCCTAATGCTTAATCTAGAAGTTCCCTTGTCTTCTGGACTAATTTCAATTTTACAAAGCTATGAAGTTGGAACATTGATATTCACAAACTAAAAATTGGGTCAGCTGTTTAATATAATTATAAAATGAATTAGTACATAAGGTACGTTTGCTCGCAGTCATTTTAAACCGTGGGAGACTGTTTTTTTCTCGCAATGTTACACAAATGCGGTTTAGTTACATCCAGAATCCCTCCCCCCCCCCCCCCTAAAAACCGACGTTTATATCAGGAGTTCCTTAGTCTTCTGAGTAAGCTTAAAAATTATACTAGACTACGGAATTAAACAGCATAGCCGCAAATCAACACCGGCAGTAAAACAAAAATAAAATTTTTATATACTAATAGTTTAGATTTATTTGACTTAAGAAAAAGATTAATATGCAAATGATTTGTTTTAAAATGTAATAAGATATCTAATATATTTTATTACGAATTCATAAGATTTTTTTTTCAATTAAAATTCAATTTTTCTCTTCAGATTTCCGCTAAACGAAAACTTTGCAAATATAGTTTAGTATATTTTTTTTAAAAATTTAGCGTGTTTCATGTAAACCTAAGATATATAATTGAATAAGCTCATCTTAGTCTTTCTTTTCGTAAGAACTACGTTGAAAAGACTGAAAAAATCAGTCTCAGAACTTTTTTATTTTTTTAACTCTTTATATGAACCAAAATGTACTAAATTTTAACATAGTACTATTAATTAGTTATGTGTACCAAATGTTTAAATTTATGTTTTAAATTCAAAGGTTCCTGAAAAAAGATCTTTTGTGTAACTAATATAACAAAACATTTTCACGATTATTCGTAGGCGGTAAAGGAAAATAAAGGTAAATTTAAAACATCCAAATACCAACAGATACATTGCATTAAACTAGTGCTACAAATTATCGCACAATTATAATTAAGTTTAAGAAAAAAATTTGCAATATTTTTTACGTGCTATCAATCGAAATCTTAAAGCAGAGCCTTTATAACCTACTTTAAAAAAACTAAATTACTAAAACATGGACAACTAAAACCATAAGTTAAAACTAAAATGAAGGTGGCTTCATAAAAAATCTCTTAATTCTCTTAGAAAATATTTATTCAGTTGAACTATTTCACCTATTCTTTAATTTACATAAACCTCATATAAGCCTTATTCCAGACGTTAATACCTCTGGAATAAGATAAATTATGCCTGAAAATTTGATGAAATGTCTCACAGGATTTAGAAGGCTGAATAAACTAAATCAAAACGCAAGATTGCAATATCCATTTATCATAGAACAAATATCTTACGAAATTTATAAAGTTACTTTTTGCAATTTATATTATAATGTGCAATTTATATTATTGGAAAAAAAATTTAAAATGGTTTAATATTTTAAAATTTTCGCATTGAATCTTGCAGTAAGCCACAAATATGCGCTGTTTGTATTATAAATTTTTATTTTATTAGCAAAGTTCGATAGTTCGAACACATAAAATCTGAGTTTTTAAAAAAAATTCATAAATTTCCATCACTTGTATAGCGAAATTCTGTTATGCGTTATAGCGTAAAAAAAACAATTAATTTAACAGCCAATTTAATCTATAATAATAAAATTAATTTGCGTATCTCGCTGATAACTCCTAAATCGTTTATACTATCGTCTTGAAAATTGAATCGCGGTTGCAATTTTAGTCCTACATTCTAAAAGTAGTTTAAAAAATTTCAATTATATCGTTCGAAAATGGAGTTTTCTCATTAATTGTCACCATTGTTTCAAATTTAAATTATTTACAGGTAAGCATATATTCATGCTTGTACTCTTAATTACATGAGTCCGCCTTATAAGCCTTTGTCAAGTAGAAAGAAAAAGTCAAATTCAGAGAAGACAGGGCGAAGACACATCCAGTATTAAAGGGGGATTCGACCCAGCTACCTATATGCTGCAGAGCGTTCGACGGGTGACAAATTCTACCCTGAAGGCCACTTTTAAAATAATTTATAAACTACCATATCGGTTGTTTCAAAGATAACATCCTTGATCAACATGTTATGATCAACAACCTAACAAACTATGTTTTAGTTTATAGCTCTATTTGATCAAAAAGATTATTGCACGTACTTTTAACATTAAATTTTTTATTCGCATATCAGAAAAATTAATTGATCAATTTGAGCGTTGTAGCATCAGCGGACTACATCGCCATAATATCTATATATATATTTCTCTTACACGGCGACAGAAAAAAAGCCTCATTTCAACTCCCCGAATGACAGCGCTAGAAAATCGACCAATGATTGCCGGTAAAAATGTCACATGCCAAATCTAGCTGAAGTGGCTCAACATATAGCGCTTTTAAGAATGGAAACTGAAAAAACCAGAGAGAACATCAGCTGCGGCAATCTCATAATATTAAGTTATGCAGAAGTGAGTAGTCTTTGTCGATAGATCTCTATTTTAGTATTTTGTTCACGAATTTATTCTCTATTTTAGTATTTTATTCACGAAGCGCTTTTCTTCACGAATTTAAATATTACGAATTTATTTGACGATTTTTGATTTATATCACGAATTATACTATAGCACATTTCTAATAGGTTTAACGAATTACACGTCAATTATTTGAATTCAAATTTATTTTATTGACTTAGTATTTACAAAAGATGTAAATTTTTTTTAAAAAAAAAGTTGTTATGTGGATTTGAATGATTGTTTTGAATTCTTAGAATTTTGTGTATTTGCAATGTACCTAAATTAGTAGCGAGCAAAGCGAGCTTGGTTTGCGAAGCAAACCATAGAAGATTGCGTTGCAATTTTCGGGGGTTGGCGAGCGTTAGCGAGCAGGGGACGCAACCCACTAGTTTTTAACGATTCTGTTTATTTCACATTCTTCACTGATTAGTTATATTTACAAGCTAGGTGATGAACGATTCCGTTACAGAGTTAGTATTTCTAAAGTTATTTGAAGCCACATGTTTATTTGTTTAATTATGCGTTTAAAACTTCTTTTTATAAAACTTAACAGCTTAAAAATTTGCGAAAATTTTAATGAAATATAATAATTTCAGCGATTTTTAACTTTTCTACGGAACTGCACAAAAAAATAAGGCGTGTAACTTACAAAAATCGAGTTTATAGGTCGCTGCTAAATTTTTCAGGTATGTATTTTTCAGGTATTTTAAATTAAGTTTATCTTGAAATGTGTTACAAGAATTTCTTAACATTTTTAGCACTTAGAATGCCACGCTAATTATACCTGGTGCCAGTCTGGATAAAATGGTTTTTGTCAGTAATGCGTTGCATTAATTTCTTACCATTTTCCCATTTCAAAATGTTCAAACATTTCAAGTCCCGCAGTGGACTGATCGTTAAGACACGGTTCCCAGCAGATCACCGAAGTCAAGCATCACTGGCTGCGGTCAGTGTGCGGGTGGGNGAAAAAATTTCTCACATTCTTTCAACCAGGGTCCGCTTTTATGAATTTGTGCAAATAGGGTCCGGTTATTGCAAAAACCTTCAAGGAGTTTTTAAATTTTAAATAGATACAAGATTATGCTCGGCACTGTAAAATTACATTAAAAAAATTAAATTTTCAAAAATAAGCAGCAATTGCTGTTTCTAAATTAGAGATGCAACATATAAATATTTGGTATTTAGCCTATACTGCTGAACGCAGAATATTCATTTCGGACGAATAATGGAAGAATCGTCTGCCGAACTAAAAACTTAATTCGTTTACATCCATCTTTCTTGTTTTCTGCCCTGGGAAGGGTTTATTTGATTAACAAAACAATAATGAAGGCAAACAAATTTGTGACGGGTCCGATTAAAAGAAAAATCGTTTTGTGAAGGGTCCGTTTTCATGAAAAGATATTTTGTGAAGGGTCCGTTAGCGGACCCAAATTTCTTCTAAACAGACCCCTGCAAGGGAATTCCTGGATCAAGTATTGGGAGAAATTTACCTTTGCTGAGGACTTTTTGATGGAACTTACCCGCATTTGCATTACATGGAGAGGAAGACCACGAGAACCTCCCATGGTTAGCTTGACGGCAAGGGGACTCTAACCCATGATCCGTCTACGACTGAGGATATTTCACGTGAGCATTATGATCGGTGCAAGCCGGATGCGGAATTCGTAACAACCAGCCATCGTTGAGATTCGAACCCGATTCACCGTAGAAAAGTTTTACATTTTTCTTCATACTTTTCTTCTTAGGATTCATTAAGACTTTGACTCACAATGGGCTTTGGCCGAAATGATTTGCTTTTTTTTTAGATGCCACCTATTTCCGATTTTTATATAGTTTTTTCTATGGGGAAACATAAAAACAATTGAATGCCTTAGTGCGCTTCTCAATTTTTTTTTCCATCTGTGGAACACTAAATTATCTACCTTATTTTGGCGGAACACCGATATTTAACGAATAAATTTTGTTAGCAATTGTGACCTTATAAATTAACAAAAGATTATTAATTATTTGAATATGTAACGATCTAAATTTTATTTTGACAATATGTGGCGAATGAATGAAAAAGGAATTTTTTTTTCATGTAGTTTCTTAATATGCAGACCAGGTGGCCGAGTGGTTAGCGTGCCTGCATGCGGAGCCGATGGTTGCGGGTTCGAATCGCGCTCAGGGCATGGATGTTTCTTTCTCTCTCTGTGTTCTATGTCCTTTCTCCTTTGTGTGAATGTGACCCGCCCTATAAACGGGTTTGTGGTTGTGTGACATGGGTGACGCTGCTCCACAGCCGTGGCTTCGCCACAGGTGCCCACTGGGTAACGAGAAGAGAGTAGCAGTTCTGGCACTTCTGGCCAATGAGACAATACATCTCAAGTGCCCACCATTAA